AAGCCAATCAATGGGATCTGAATGTTAAAAAAACAGCAATGCCTGATTTATAGGCTACTAGACCATGGATTATCAAGCAAATAGCTGGGGGGGGGGGGGGGGGCAGGGGTCTTGGCTGGATTCTGCCCTAGGGAACATATACCAAAGCAAAAAAAAAGAAAAAAATGTATTCTGTTTGGCAAGGAACAGCAATTTTGGTAATGCTTAAAGTGAAACAATAAAATGCAAGATTCCTTTAAATAACATGCCTGTGGGTTGCCTTGAGCCTACTATGAAGTGGTACACGTGTGCAATGTATAAAACCTACTGCAGCACAACTGATATTTGTTCTGTTTGTAAACATAGTTCTTGGAGATTCCGTTAATCTATACCAGACCCTTATCCTAGATGAGGGTCTGACAGAGATGTTAACAGGACAAATAAAATGCCTTGGGGTTCCCCCATAATTCTTACCAAGCCCTTCAATTCTAGAAATGAAAGTGCTTTGTATGAATTACTGGGGAAACCCCCATGGCATCAATTTTTTCTATCCTGGCTCCTTTGCTTACATGGCTGAAGATTATATGCCATGTCAGTAAAAAGGACCAGTGAATTTACTGGTTGTTAAGTACTTAATTCTGCTGGCATCCTTCACAATCATTGACACCTGGAAGATCAAGTCAATAATTGGGAAGCAAGGATCATTCTTAGCTAAATCTTTTAGGAACTTTGAAAAGAAGGAGAAAGGTGTAAAGAACTTGATGTTGCTCTTTGTACTTGGAACCTGCTTTTGCCCAATCTTCCTGAATATTTTATGGCAATTTTACTACATTCGGGTTAAAACTGCATGCAGTGTCTAAGAAGCTGAAGTAGCCTGGTAAATGCTGGTCTTCCTTAGAGATTTCAAGTTTGAGAAGATGATGGCTTAGTTCCTGGAACATCTGCTTGTCTCTGTTGGACAATACAGGAAAGTCCTGTAATCTTTTGAAAAAGGCAAACTTTATGATTTCAGGACTGACTAAAGTTTGCTCTAATCTTTCCCATGTGAGATTAAGGTACTTGTATGGTTCAAGGATGTGAATACTTTTAAGTCTCTTAATACAGTCCTAAGGGACTATATGTTCAGCTGATCAAATTCTTGTATAGATGAGATGCTAAGGTTCTGCACTATGTGGATCTTTAGCTTCTGTAGTTCACTGGGCATTCATCTGTAGTTTGCTGAATGATCAATGGCTTTCATAAGGCCTGTATTAATTAAATCTCTGTGAATCATGTACTTAGCAAGGCTCTTTCAGGCTTAGGTGAAACAGGTACCCCTTGACCATTTCTGCAGCTGATACTTGATGTTTAGGTGTTGGAGGAGGGAATGGAGTAGCTGATGGGTTCAGGCTAGGTGAAGGCTTGGGATCTGGTGGTTTCTTGTTGTGGGACTCAAAAACCATGTGATTGATCTCAGAAAGTTTTGAGTGATTGATTTGCTGGATTCAGGATGGTCTGCAATGACACATGAGTTACTGCATGGGATGTCAATATCTTAGGAGGTAGAGAAGGGTCCAATGTGTCAAAGTAAGCTGTCAGATTAACTGCTGCAGCTTCACCTGCTGGCAAATGCACTGAACCCTGGTGTATAAGATTTGATGCATCCTGTGGAATTATGTTGACATTGTTTTGGCTTAGACAAAAGAGAACATTTTTTTTTACAAGGCTTTTTAAGGTATCGTCCATATATACTTGCATGTCTACTTTTTATTAAAAAAAATGTAAAGAATTTTTATTACAATATCATTAAAAATACAACATTGTAAGGCACTCCCGCTCGCAATTTTTGTCACACATAGGGCAGCCCATTCACGTCACTGGGCTGCACTATGCACATTTGTCTCCCAAAAGCAGCTCCTGTTCCTTTTTGGGCAACAAGCTATCTTTAAACATGCATTTTGTCGCAATTGCTGTACAATTCTGTTGCATGATAAACATGGCAGAATTGCACTGCGTTTGAAGTGCCATTAAAAAATAATGGCGCCCAAACGCAGGTTGCAAGTTTTGGAGCAATTTGGAATCACAGGCAGAATCACGGTGATTCTGCCAGGTTTTCCAAATGGTGTAATGTGAATAGGGCCTAAAAGACACGTAATTACATGTATTCAATTTTACCCCTACACTTTATTTACACTCCTATTACAAGATATTAGTTATAGTGGCACTATATTGAATCCTCCAGTAGTAGTCCACAAGCGTTTAGAGGTGGCAGATTCTCAGTGCTTTTTTCAGCTGATAATGCTGCTTCCTCAGCAGTTGGAAGTTGTGGAATCTACAATAAGTATTCAATTTTTAGGTTTGCAGGTATTACTGTAGTACCATAATATGCAATTCATAAAGAATACCCATTAAAATGGTAAATAACCATTTTAATTTTTTTTTTCCCTAGGACAAATTTACAAGGTTCATCTTGCAGGGTTATCAGAGGTTATCAAGATGGGACAATGGGCTTTTTCTTCTTCAGCAGCTTGCTCCATTGCTCTAAGCTTGGCTAAAGCTGTTGCTTCTTTTTTTTTCTTTCTGAAGAATTTCTTGCTGGATTCTGCCAGATCCACTGCTTCTGCCTGTGCATGAGCTTGGGAGGCCTGATATCTTTGATGGCTGCTTCCCTCCCTAATACCATAGGCTTCCAGTTTAGCTTCTTTTACTCCAGCACAGGCCATGAGTTGACTACTCAGTGAGGATCACAAAAAGCAAGATATTAGTGAGGATTGCTGTGAGTGGGACCTTAGTGATCTGGTGAATCTCTTAGAGAGCTTGGAGGAAGCAAAGTAGCAGAACTTAGTTCCATGCAATTGTGATGTCTTGTCATCTGCTCATGACTAGGCCTCCAGGAATGCTGTTGGCTAGGAGCAGTAAAGTTAGTTCTTCAATAGATTGCTCTGTATTATCACTTGATAGAAGATATGAATCTTTGTCAGACAGTGTTACAGCCTTTATAAATTCTTTTAGCTTTGCAAGTGCACTGCTTAGTTGCTTTACATTACTGCATGTTTCATCAGCAATAGTTATACGTCGCACAATTCTGTTCCACAAATCAGATAAATCTTCAGATATTTCTGCCCTGCTCTTTTCATATTATTTTTAAGCTTCAAAAAAAGATTAACTGTTCATTTGTGTCTAAATTTTTACCTGTTGCAAATCAGCATCATCATGGGGAAGAGATGATGCTGATTTTCTGTACTGTATACACAGATTCTTGAGACAAGGTGTTGTATTTGTGTGCGGTATTAGGCCATGCAGAAAACCAAGTGTTTGTGTAGAGCACAGTCTATCACAGCACAGCAAATCCAGCAGTAGGGATAATTTAATAGCTACAGTTCTTGTAGTTCCACATGCACGTTCTATATATGGATACTCATATGCATACACAACTTTCTAAACAATAGAAAGTTGTGCTTGCTAATGAATGACAACAGTAACATGAGGTTAATGCAGGAAATTATAATCAAATCCGTGTCTTCAGAAACAGTGTTATTTTCAAGAAGATATTAGAGTCTATATGGAAGCCATGTACTCACTTGGAGTACTATGCAAACAGATGACGTGCTCCCTGAAGTACAGGAAGAAATCAAAGTGTTTAAGGATTTAGAAATCTGTCTTCTTTTATTTCAGATGTCGATTTATGAAATCGCATACCTCCATAGATCCAGTTTTAGTTAACAGTATGGCCTCTTCACAATTACTTTCTATAATATCCCTGTGGCGACTAATGCTGCTTGAGGGAACATGGAAGAAGTAGAGAAAGTCTAGCTAGGACTGAACTGACTAGCATAAAGCAGGAGGGGAGAATAGAGGGAGAGACCAAATACAGAAGTTGTAGAGGTTCTGAACTACCACTAGACGTCAAAATGCATTATAACATAATCCAGTTCACTGCAACAACAGAAAAATACATTATAGGTGGGTAAAGACACTCACAGAAGAAAGACTTTCACTCACACTGCCTAGGCCTCCAACAGAGCCCATCTCAGTACACATTCCTTTCTGGTAGGGTTGCACCGATACCAATACCGGTATCGGTATCAATACTATCCATTTGCATGAGTATCAGTACTCGTGCAAATGCACCGATGCCTGAAACCATTACTTTTAGGTTCGGTTCTTTCAGCTGTAAGCGGTACTCGTACTTATTGCTAACAAAGTGGTATTGGTTCACCCCTACTTTAGGGTTTATTGAGTTTGTCCACTCGTCAGTCACCCAGAGCAAAGTCAGCAGTGGTATTTGTGTGGTCAGTTCACACAACATAAAGAGCTTCTTCAGTTGAACATTATTCTGCACCCAATCCAGCATGAAAGCCAGGAGTATATAAAGTTCAACCACTTGTATCTGGCCACTCTAAACTACAAAAACAGCACCTGCAACATGTGTGGATTTATGAGAGAAAGGTGGTTGGTTTCAAGGACAGTGAAGCCTTTCTAGCAATTGTGGAACCCGTTTTATTAGACCCGAGCTATTCAGAGAGACCCAGGAACTTTATTTGAACTTGCTGAAGGTGCAAAAGTACATTTGGACTATGGACATGGAAACAATTATGCTGTCTAGGGATGATAGAATGTTTATCAGCAGAATTTCTGGGAATTCTGGTAATTAATGTGGGCATAGCAGGTTACCTTTCGGTAGAGGTTTATGAAGCGACGTTGAGGTCATTGGACTGTTTTAGGGAAGCGTTTGCTATCTTTAATTTGATAACTGGCGAGTGGATAGGTTGGTGTGTAGCATAAACACTTGAAAAGATTTATGTCCTCCTCACAGGGGGAGTTCCTGTGGAATGTAAATGACTGGAGGGGGCATTGGGTGTCCTGGGAGATGATTCAGAAAGAGACATATGTGCTGACTTTTTTGATTTAATATGTGATCATCAGCTGAGTGTGAATAAAGAAGGATTTTTGGGCATGAATTCTTACTCCTGTTTCATGATCCTTAACAAAACCTTTTTTCGAAATGCAGTTTATTAAATGAAGGCACATTGGCCTTTTACCTCGGCAACATTAATATACTTGGTAATAACCTCCGCTCTTTGCTGTGGAGTTGGCTTGCTCAGAACCATAAGCTGTACCCATTTCGAGATTCCATTGAATAGAGCTATGGAGCGCTCCAAAGTTGGGTTGTCCACTAGGGAGCCATGAATTACGTAACTTTGATAATCTGTAAACTAAAGATAAGAAATATATATATACATATATGTATCAGTTCAATATATAGATTTGCATAATGACCCAAAGCCAAGAGAAGGTGATGGCTATTGCTGAGACCAAGTGGCTGCTTCTCCTTTAAAATAATTTTTACATATCAGATCCACTTTGTGGCACAGCTGTGGTACCTATTTCAAGTTTCCTTTGGTCCTCCTAATGTGTAAATAACTATTTTATGTCTTCTATTAACCCTGAAAGTATCCACTGGTTTAACTCCCTGTGTGAGGTGTATACTTTTTTGGTCATTCTCATAAAGTTGTTAGGAAAGTGTCACACTACCACAGCTAGATTCCCTATGTTATGTAATTCCACTTCCAAAATCATCCAAACATTCTGCTACACATTTAGATGGCTTTCAAAAAGCCACTGAACTGAAAATGGACAGTAAATGCTATTGGGTACAAAATAGCCTATTTTTTTTTTTAATTATAAAACAAAATCATTATGACACACATCAGTTGGCGTCAAATCATAAAACTCTCTTCTCTCAAATATATGGATTATATATATATATAAATAGTATCTCACACAAGTGATTACACCCCTCACAATTTTTAAAATATTTTATTATATCTTTTCATGTGAAAACACTGAAGAAATGACACTTTGCTACAATGTAAAGTAGTGAGTGTACAGCTTATATAACAGTGTAAATTTGCTGTCCCCTCAAAATAACTCAACACACAGCCATTAACGTCTAAACCGCTGGCAACAAAAGTGAGTACACCCCTAAGTGAAAATGTCCAAATTGGGCCCAAAGTGTCAATATTTTGTGTGGCCACCATTATTTTTCAGCACTGCCTTAACCCTCTTGGGCATGGAGTTCACCAGAGCTTCACAGGTTGCCACTGGAGTCCTCTTCCACTCCTCCATGACGAAATCATGGAGCTGGTGGATGCTAGAGACCTTGCACTCCTCCACCTTTCATTTGAGGATGCCCCACAGATGCTCAATAGGGTTTAGGTCTGGAGACATGCTTGGCAAGTCCATCACCTTTACCCTCAGCTTCTTTAGCAAGGCAGTGATCATCTTGGAGGTGTGTTCGGGGTTGTTATGTTGGAATACTGCCCTGCAGCCCAGTCTTCGAGGGGAGGGGATCATGCTCTGCTTCAGTATGTCACAGTAGATGTTGGCATTAATGGTGCTCCCCAGTGCCGGCAGCACTCATGCAGCCCCAGACCATGACACTCCCACCACCATGCCTGACTCTAGGCAAGACACACTTGTCTTTGTACTCCTCACCTGGTTGTTGCAACACACACTTGACACCATCTGAACCAAATAAGTTTATCTTGCTCTCATCAGACCACAGGATATGGTTCATGTAATCCATGTCCTTAGTCTGCTTGTCTTCAGCAAACTGTTTGCGGGCTTTCTTGTGCATCATCTTTAGAAGAGGCTTCCTTCTGGGACAACAGCCATGCAGACCAATCTGATGCAGTGTGCGGCGTATGGTCTGAGTACTGACAGGCTTAAATCTCACCCCTTCAACCTCTGCAGCAATGCTGGCAGCACTCATACATATATTTCCCAAAGACAACCTCTGGACATGACGCTGAGAACAAGTGCACTTAACTTCTTTGGTTGACCATGGCGAGGCCTGTTCTGAGTGGAACCTGTCCTGTTAAACCGCTGTATGGTCTTGGCCACCATGCTGCAGCTCAGTCTCAAGGTCTTGGCAATCTTCTTATAGCCTAGCCCATCTTTATGTAGAGCAACAATTCTTTATTTCAGATCCTCAGAGAGTTCTTTGCCATGAGGTGCCATGTTGAACGTCCAGTGACCAGTATGAAAGAGTGAAAGCAATAACACCAAATTTAACACACCTGCTCCCCATTCACATCTGAGACCTTGTAACACTAACGATTCACATAACACCGGGGAGGGAAAATGGCTAATTGGGCCCAATTTGGACATTTTCACTTAAAGGTGATACTCACTTTTGTTGCCAGCGGTTTAGACGTTAATGGCTGTGTGTTGAGTTATTTTGAGGGGACTACAAATTTACACTGTCATAGATGCTGTACACTCACTACTTTACATTGTAGCAAAGTGTCATTTCTTCAGTGTTGTCACATGAAAAGATAATAAAATATTTACAGAAATGTGAGGGGTGTACTCACTTCTGTGAGATACTGTATATATATATATATATATATATATATATATATATATATATATATATATTTATTTATGTACAAAAGGCGTTTATTTCTATGTTTAAAAAAATAGCAGTGAATACTGTATATCTGAGTGTACAGAGTCTCAAAAGCATACTGTAGATATTATTTTAAAGAGAAAAAAAATGGCAAAATTAACCAACTGGAGGGGTGCAAAAAAAAAAAAGGTGCTATGTTTGATTTGCTAAAACTGGAGAGTGCAAAATCTGGTGCAGCTGTGCATGGTAGCAAATCAGATTCTAACTTCAGCTTGTTCAATTTAGCTTTGGCAAAAAAACCTGGAAGCTGGTTGGTTTCTATGCAGAGATGCACCAGATTTTGCAATCCCAAGTTTTAGCAAATCAACCCCGTATGGTGCTACAAATAATTGCACTTCCTAATGTAAATAACCCCTAAGATATTTTTGGCTTTTTAATACATGAATATACATTTCTAAGCTAAGACAGCATGATGCAGCCCACATCAAATAGCATTACAAAATCATAACTGCTCAGATTATTATAGAACATGCAGCACATGGCCTGGACTCCTAAAGGCAGATGGAGCCCTGATGAATATTTTCACTGTGCCTAACGTTGTTGTTCTTTTTGCAATGAGTTAATTAAAATAAGTGCATGGTTTAACGAACAGCTTTTAATCTGTGATAAAAGGTATTATTTTGAAAGATTAATTTGTGACCCTTTATATATAAAGATGATGAGGTTATCAGAAAATTTTGCTTACAGATATTCTTCGGAAAGCTTTATATTCTAGAAATGTTAGGTGTTCTGCCAGCTCCACAGGCTCCAGATGGTCAAACAGAAGGCAAACCTTTCCCTTCTTTGATGTTTTTTTCCTCTGTGTGACTCTTCGCATCCAGTCATAAGATGGGCTGCAAACAAAAGCGACAATGTACGCTGTCACCACAAAATGCAACAATCAATAAACAATTAACAGTGCGCTCACTGTTTGCAATGCCTCCATTTACAAGTGTGGCTCTGTTCTCAACACCTTACTGTGCTCAGTTCTACATTAAAAAAATATCCACTAAAATGATTTTATACCCATTTTATGAATGTGATCATGTGCAAATATCTTCTAATTTTAGAATCACTAGAGAAGTTCTTTGAAGTGAAAAACTCATGAATTGAGACAAAGGTCGCTCTTAGACACTGACCATTCAGTAACTTGAAGTATGTTTTTAGCAGCCTGGAGTTTATATAGGTTTACAGTGTATATTTATAAAGCACTGATTGTGACTCACCAAACATTTACCACAGGTGTACCTTCCTGATGCATGTGTTTTAAATTGATTTACCTGCAATTAATATTTTTGTGAATGTCACATTAACTGCTTTATAAATATGCATTAGATATTCTGAGGCACTATTATTAGCACTTATTTGAAATTAAATTTGGTTTAAAATGCATTAAATGACTGGACTATTTATAAGCTATTTATTAAATTATTTACTAATTTATTATCTAATTACTAATCTGTTAGCAGGGGCGGACTGACCATTTGGAAACTCGGGCACTGCCCGAGGGCCCGGGGTCAGTAGGGGGCCCCATGAGATGCCCCTGGTACCTTTTTCATAGGCTTTTTTGAGTTTGGGCAAGGACACGGGCCCCATGATCCCCTATTGCCCGGGGGGGCCCCATGAGTTGTCAGTCCGCCCCTGTCTGTTAGATTGTAAGCTTCCATGAGCAGGACCTCTGTTCCATCTTGAATTGTATTGTAACTGTACTGTCTCCCTATGCAAACAATTGGGGGCTATATAAATCCTGTATAATAATAATAATTACACAAATGATCAAGTGGCACTGTAACCATTTAGTGAATGAAACACAATATACAGTGACAAAGTGAAGTAAAATGAAACAGTTATATAATGTAAATCAATCCATTAATGTGAACATAAAGTCCATAATAACATGTAGAAGTCACTTCCACTGCTGTAATCTTCCTATTACTCAGTATCCCCAAACCAAAACAGCACATACTCGTGATATAGCCTTCCCTTATGGGTATGCACTCACCAAACTCACATGCCTCCCACTCTCATGGTTGGCATGTATTGCTTTTAAATCTCCGATTATGGTGTCGCCATGACTTCATACATTCCTTACTTATCTCCACCAGATGTCATGATCATGTAAAAGTAAGAGTTATACTCCAGTGGTACGATAACCAATACTTTCTGCTTTATTGAATAGTTTTAAAAAGTCACTTACAAATAAAATAGAAAAAGATGCTCATCATAATCCATATGACATTAGATGTGGATATCGTGCTCTCACCACTGCCAGACCCCACAAAATGGCGTTCTCACGTCACTCCCTGGTCTCTAATGTCACTTTCGGTCACCGCACAGCCTCACCCTGATGCATTTTTTCACTTTCGACTTAGTCATAGGGATGGCTGTATGGCACGGCGACTCTCTTTACGCACCCTCCTCATTGCTGTCATTGGTCAATTACTAACGGTGGGCAGAACATTCACAAGCCACTGATTCAAATATCTCGCCAAGTTAGTTAGTCAGTAAGTACATAGCAGTGTTAACCCACAAAGCAAACTCCTATAATGACCTAAATGTTACTGAGCAGTAAGAGGGGGACACATACAATGATTACAATCACCACTTATCATAACAACAACTGATAACGTGAGAAGTAATCAGACACAATGTGATAACTTATCCTTTCCTAATGTTTTTCATATGTTCTGCTATTATCACTTTCAAGGGGCATTTGGTGAGTCCAACATAAATTAACACACATGGGCATTGGAGAGCATAGACCACATGGGTTGTGTCACAAGTAATGAACTCAGGAATATCAAATTCACATCCCAAATTTTTGGAGAAAAAGGATTTGCATTTGGTCATATTATTAGTTGCCTTTCAAAGGGCATATTTCCTCATGTCACTTCCTCACTACTTATCACAGTTTTGGAGGCCCTGAAATGCCAGGATAATACAAACACCCCCTCCAATTACCCCTTTTTGCAAAGTGGACACCCCAAGGAATTTGATAAGAGGCATAGTGAGTATTTTGCAGATATAATTTTTGTCACAGGGTTTTGAAAAAGGAATAAAATACATTTCTCTTTTTCTTTTCTTTCTTTTCTTTTCTTTCTTTCTTTCTTTCTTTCTTTCTTTCTTTCTTTCTTTCTTTCTTTCTTTCTTTCTTTCTTTCTTTCTTTCTTTCTTTCTTTCTTTCTCTCTTTCTTTCTTTCTTTCTTTCTTTCTCTCTTTCTTTCTCTCTTTCTTTCTCTCTTTCTTTCTTTCTTTTTCTTTCTTTCTTTTTTAAAAGGAGTAATTTGGGGGGTGGGGGTGCTTCCACTATCCTGGCATTTCAGGGCTAACATTAAGGTCACACATCACCCACTCTTCTATTCACTGGATTTTTTTTGTTTTTGGGCCCATGGGCATATGATGAAATAGGTCTGTAGGCCAATATGAGCACAATTCATTCTTTTTTGTAATGCCCATGTTGAGGGTTTGGAGCAAAAAAAATTTACATTCGAAAATCGTGATAGGTTTCCATACAAATTGTCTGGCAAAAGCTGAATTTGAGTAGGAGGAAATGTTTTGTCCGTGTAAATTGCTTTGACTCACAATCAATTGATACAAATCTTCAGTGAAAAACCACAGAGGAGCTAAACGCTAGTGCTGGCAGCGAACGGAGCTAATCCTGCTAACACTACCTTTTTTGGGGACACTATACTTAGGAGCCACTAGTATAGTTCTGTTCATGATCAATATATTGATCCATACAAACACTATACTAGTATTGGGGGTGATCAGCGACCTATAGCGTGAGTGCCAGTTGACCCTGGCTGGGAGGGGCGCTAACTGACCCTGACTCTATTTGATGCTAGTGGAAGTAATAAAGTGATCAGTGAAACATTCTATATGCTGACACTGTACAAATAGCACTGGCTGTGTGAGGCGAGTAAAGTGTTAAATGTGCTAATCTAATGTGTGTATGTAAAATGCAGTGCTTTTACTTACAGTGTGGTGTATGGGCACTCACACCCGGAAATAGAAAGCGACGTAAGGGTATGTTGCTTTGCCTAGAGTCGCCGCTTGTGCACACATTGTTGGTGGTCAAGCGGCAAGTTGTTAAAAAAAAATGTAAAGTAAAACGTTCTCAATATTTTAATTTTTTTAACATATTTTTCTTTATTAAAAAAATAAATAAATACTTATAACCGATTAGTTCAATGATACCATAGTAACATTGTACTACTTGGGGGGTGAGAAGGGAGTGTTTTATTTATTTTTTTTACACTTTGTTTAATAAAGATTATTGTTCCTGGAATGCAATGCTTGCTTTGACCTGTCATGAATGGGTTAAGTTCATGACAGTTCAAAATACTAGTGATCTGTGATTGGCTACAGCTGATCACATGGTACAGGGTGCTGTGATTGGCCCGTGTACCATGTGAGAGCTGTGGGCCAAACACACCTCACTAGGAAAGGAAGCAAAGTTGCTATGAATCACATTGATTCATAACAGTTTTGCTAACATTGTGATGCAGTGGTCTGGAGCAGCGCCCCCCTGTGTTAGTACAGTCGGAGTGACGTAGCTGCCGCCCATCTGCAATACACTGTGGGTGGGCGGTCCTTAAGTGGTTAATCTGAAAGTTCAATTAGACTTTTTAATATTTACACATCAGTAAATCAGAGTTGTGACATTTATGAGACAGCATGAGATATTTTACATTGTAATAATGTATGTTATGGGTAAATTATTGTTTTCTATTCACTTTTTAGGCTTATTTAAAGTCTGGGGAAAGGCAGGTTGTGAAGAAATTGTTAGAAAAAGTGCTTCCTGTGTACTGAGGCCCATTCTGTTGCTGAAAACAGCTACAGAACATTGGCCATTCAATTCAAATCACAGTTCTGATGTGATGATCTTTTCCTTCCTATCAGTGTTCCCCCTAAAATCAGAAAGGTTGCAGGTTGGTAAAAAAAAGGGGGGCGCAATGGGATCAGTTTCAGCTTCATAGCCGAACGTAAGGCTTCTTCTTCCGCTACATGTGACGGATAAGGCTCACACCAAGTTGTGTGTTGGAGCCAAAACCAATCTTGACTGAGTGTTCTATCTTAGTGCTTGGTGACCGCACATGTGAGTATATTTGTTTTTTGCATGCTTTAAAGTGTTACTAAACCCAGGACCTTACATTCACTCTATCTGGTCTCCCACAGTACACACTACATGGAAATGCAATTATTTTAGTAAATATAAACTGCTAAATACCTTTACTCATCAGCAGTTAGAGCAGTCTTGTGACTTCTATCAGTGTCCAGCAGAGCACATGTTAAAGCTTGTAGGAGGAGTTTTCTTTCTGCTCTAGGAGGATGCAAAACCCCTGACCTCTGTCTAGACAGTGCTGATTGGCCCTGTGCTGATCACATGCCTCTCTCCCCAAAAAAAAACTCTCTAGCAATACACAATAAACTGAGCATGCGCAGAGTATCTCCACACGATATGTCTTATCAGGAGATAAGAGGGAGACACTGACAGAAGGGGAGGATCAGAGAAGTCAGGATCAAACAGCATTTTTAAACAGTGCAGAGGATTAACCCCTTAGGTTCAACAGTGAGTATGACAAGCATGCTTTACTGCATATACAGACTGATTTTACTGCTGTGGTTTTAGTAACACTTTAAAAGAAAATAATCAGTGTTACACTATAAAGATTTTATCGCATGTTTTCCCGATGCCGGCATCCATCTAAGAGTAAGAAAAGGAGGTATATGGTGTTGGCTGAGCTGGTCTGGTGGAGTGGCACAAAGAGAGGAGAAGTGGTGGAAACCTTGAAAAAGAAGTGACAGATGTTAGCGGTGAATCGTGCATCGACCTTGTATAGCAGTGGGTTTA